ACAGGCGAGTGAAACTTGAGGCAAAGAATAAGTCGCCTCTATTCTTTGCTGGTTTCGTTTCCCTGCCATGAACAAGGTTTTTGTACATTGTCATCTCTACACTTTTTTACAAAACGTCTATGATACCAGCAAACAGAATAATCTCTCCTTTTGGAATTGCTTCTTTCCTTATTGCGATCTCCGCGATTTGGCGAGCGACCACGAGAAAGAGAAATGCGATCAATACGTTTGTTTAATTTTTCTATTTGTTTAAATAATTTATCCTCAAGAGACTGATCGACTGTGCGAGAAACGGCACAAGTCCCTGGGGTTGGATTTACTTCTAAAATTCTGTCGGCAATTTCTGCAGCTTTATCTATAGTTAAATTGGAAACCGCTGCCAAAATAGACTGAACAGTCGAAGGCAAATGTTGAAGGAATAATTCTAACATTAAGTTATCAGGAACATTTAAAGATTCTGCTCGACGTTTCATATTTCTAAGCAAATCGGAAGGTTTTCGAGAACCTAATTCTTCTCCAGATAATAATTGGCGAATTTCTTGCTGAGAAGATTCTCCTGAACGATTTATTAACTCAGTTTTGAGCTTTGTATATGGATCAATAGGATCTGGTTTCATAAGTAAATCCCGTACTATTGATGCAATATCTGGAGGAAGATGAGCAACTACTACTAATTATATTTAGTAATGGATTCTGTGATAGGTTTGGGGGTGGCAAGAGCAAAGGTACTTTCACACATAATAAACCATAAAGATGGGTCTGATCGGTTATAAACCGGAATTTGGACGGCATAAACATCAGACATTGTGCAAGGTTTTTAAGCCAAATAAAAGCAAAAATTTAACTAAAGAAAATGAAATTAAATGATAAGTAGAAAACAGACTTATAAAATGATCTATAATTACTACTCATCTGTGATCCGGAGGACGAAAACCGATGTAATCCATTACTTCTGGTTTGGAGATCTTGAGTGATGGCTTGTAGTCAAAACCGAAAGTGCTTGAGAACTGTTCATACGATTAACACAGTCGGTACATAGGTTGGATTCTATGTTTTACACCAACCTCGAATTCTATCCGATTATTTCTTACATTTATAAATAAACTAACTAATTGCGTTATTCGACTTTGGCACCGCCGACCGCTGGTCCTGCGTCGAAAACCTTCCGGTTACGTTTCGAGGCCAATTCTTTCTAATATCCAAAATCTTTCTCTTAAGGAATTTAGGACGTGAGAAACTCCAACATGTCCTTTCAACTTATGTTCTTCCATTATTAAACTTTTATAAGAGGATGATCACTTGGCAAAATAGCAGGAGTTCTGAACTCAGATGTATCTTCTCTTTGAAATATTGCTGTTTTAGTTCTGATGATCCCACAATCAATGAATGGATTAAGACTTAAAATCCGTTTATCTTCTATTCCATTAAAGGACTCATTTTGTATTAAACGAATCAAGATATTCTCTGCTTCATTTAACTCAGATACAGTAAGTTCATCCTTTTTCTTTTTCTTGTTTTGATGTTTACAGTTGTAAACAAAACGACACATCCACGCTACCAGTCTGATTGTCTTACGATAACTTGAGAATCTAGTAGCAACTATTTCACTAGCATTAAGATTTATTAAGGACGAAATAATCCTTTTCTTTTTCTCAAGAGCTATTTCTTCTTCATCAGCACTAAAATCTTCTTTTGGCCATTTTTCAGGTGATAAATATAGCCATTTAGGTCCTTCCCACCATCTGGATTTAATTAAATAAGAAGCAGAGCATCCTCTACTGGGCAAATCAGCAGGATTCAGTGATCCTGGTACGTGCCTCCAGGATTCAATAGAAGTCAGTTGCTTTATTTCCTTAATTCTGTTGTGAACAAATACGTCCCATACTTCATTTCTCTGTATCCAAGCTAGCACAGTAGACGAATCTGTCCAAAAATAAATATCATCAGCTTGAAATTCAGGTATTATGCTGGATGCTAAACGTGCACATATTGTAGCTCCAAGAAGTTCCAATCGAGCTATTGTTGTCTTTTTCCTTCCGCTGGGTGCAACTCTCGCTTTAGCTTGCACCAAATGAACTTGAACCGAATCCTTGTTTGTACTCGAACAAAAAGGCCACAGCTGAATACGCAAGTTTACTCGCATCACTGAAGAAATGAAGTGAGATACTTTCACTCTCACGATCACAGTTTAACCATCTTGGTATTCTCATTCTTTCCAGACACTGCAAATCATTCAACCATTTACAAAATTGTGATTTTGAATTTGAATCAACTTCTTGGTCCCAAGATAACTTAACTTCCCATAGGTGCTGAAGTAAAAGTTTCGGCACAAGAGTTACGGGGCAAGCTATTCCTAAAGGGTCGAATATTTTGTGTGTAGTAGCTAAAATCTCTCTTTTAGACAAAATTTCTGGTAGATTGTAGGTGATGTTAGTAATATTAAGGCAAAGGTAATCTCCACATCGTTCCCAAATCATTCCTAATACATTTGTGGTACTAGAGGAATTATCTGTTGGGTCACTATATTCCCAACCACGTAATTCTAGCTTTCTTGTAGCTAAAGTATCTGAAGCAACTTGTATGAATTGTTGCAATTCTAAATCATTTTTCACACTCGCTAAACAATTATCTACATAAAAGCTCTTCTTCAATTGCTCAATAATATCCACTTTATACTTTGGGTTTCCATTTAGTTGTTTCAAAGTGGATTCTAGAAGATGGTGAATTACAGAAACTAGCAAGAAAGGGCTGCTTGTAACTCCAAATACTACCCTACAATGCCTGTAATACTTCAGTTTTCCATCAGTTCTATACCATAAGAATCTTAGATAGTCTTTATCCTTAGGGTTGAGACTTATTTGTAAGAATGCTTTTCGTATATCTGCAGAAACTCCTATTCTGTTCATTCGGAATCTATGAAGAATTGAAGGAATCAGTTCGATAAGGTTCTGACCTTTTTCTAGACAATCATTGAGACTAGGGGATCCTTTTTGTTTGGCCGAGGCATCAAACACTGGCCTGATTCGTGTAGTACTGTTTTCTTTTACTACGTGTCGATGTGGTAGATAATGGCATGTTACATCAATTTCGCTTTTTGGTACTTCTTCTATGATGCCTTCTTGTTCCCATTCACTAAAAACTTCTCCATAAGCATCATAAAGTTTCTCAGCTTTTAGTCGTTTTTACTGTAGAAGCTAATCTCTTTACAGCTAAGTCATAGTTATCTTTTAACGGTAGATGGTTATCAAGCCATGGCAAGCTGACTTGAAAACGCCCCTCTTCGTTCACCTTTACAGTAGACAAGAAATGATCTCTTGCTTCTTCTTGAAGTTCCAGTTTACTTTTCTTCTCTGATGGATCTAGAATTCCAAGTGAATCTAGAGACCATAGATCGGATATCAATATTTCCTTATTCAACATGGATGTGACGAGCAGTGCGGAATTGTCCGAGATCTCACGCATACCATTTTTCCCGAAAAGAGTCCAACCAAGTTTTGTTTCTATAGCAGCAAGGCCTGAAGTAAGCAATTTAAATCCTCCGGTCATCAACTTGCCTGCAATGTCAGCGCCAATAAGTATTTCTATTGGTCCATTACTATCGTCGCATACGGATATATTGTTCTCTTTAAGCTCTTGAATCCACTCGCCATTAGCAACTGGTGGTATACTTCCACAAATAATATCTTGGCTAAGAGCTTTGAAGTTACAATGATAAGTTCCATCCGTTTTAGACAAGAACACTGTAAAAACATCGTGGTTTATGACATCAGTACATGACCCGCCAAATAATGAATGGCTCAATCTTTCTTTAGATGTACTCTCAAATTTCATTTCATCTGCAGTGCTTTTTAAAATATAAGATCTCTGTGAAGCTGAATCGATAATAGCACGGGCCTGGCGCTTTCTATCTCGCCCTTTCAATGTAACCGTTAAAGTTTGCAAAAACACATTTGTTGTTCTCGCCAAATTGGCGAGGGTTTCATCTCGTTCAGGTACTGCATCCGTATTTTCATCCTTATTCGTGCTAACAGGAACTGGAGATTTTGATTCAGCTTGGATATTTCTACATAAAAGTATGTGGTGTTTCTTCCCACAAATCACACACGATGTTCGTTTTTTACATTTAGCTATTACATGTTTTCTGTCTAAACATAAAAAGCAACTGCGACTATTTAGAACTGCTTTTTGCCTTTCCTCAGACGTCATCTTTCTTGCTTTAACGCAATCACCAGATGCATGATTTCCAGCACAAAAAATACATCCAGTTGAATTTTGTTCAGATGTTGCTATTAGAGTAGAAGCAGAAGGTGTTTTGGAAAATTCTCCACGGTTTTTGAAACCAAAGTGTTTAGCATTCCCAGGCTTAGGTGTCTGATATTTAGTAAAGCACTGAGTAGCTATAGATACTCTCTCTTCACCTTCAATTTCATCGAGCAAAAATGAAAGCAAACCATCTAAATCCATGCGATGTGTTGACGCATTTTTCTCTTTTTGCTCACTACTTTCAGATTCTCTCTGACTGCGATTAATAACTCGGAATCTTTGCCATGCTCTTAATGTATCATCCGGCAATGACGATTCGACTAGAGGATATAACATCGCCGCATATTTATCTCTAGCAACACCCAGAACTTCTAACGCTCTTAGTTTCGATTCTAAGTTATCATAGAGTTTTCGTAATGAAAATTTCTGCTGAGAGTTTTTTAATAATACTAACGAAAGTAGATCTCTAACATAGACTTCTATAAGAAGGTCTTCTTTCCCAAAACGCGATTGCAGTTGTTCTAAAGCTTTACTATAACTTTCGCCACCGGGCGGAAAGCTTTTGATTAACTCTTCAGCAGATGACCCTTTTTCCATAGACTGCAATAAATATGCAAATTTATCATGATCATCTAAATTGGGATCATTATCGATCTTTTTAAACTGGCCCCAAAATCCTAACCAGCTTTTAATATTCCCATCAAAAATCGGAAGTTTAAGCTTAGGATAACGAATAGTAGCATTTTGAGTTAAGCTTTCATTAACAACAGAACCGTTTTCCTTTTCAGCTAAAAGCGAAACTAATTTACTTTCTACCATTCTCCACTTATCAATATAGCATTTCGACTCATCAAACTCGTTATTTATCACAGTTTCATCTTTTTCAATTTTAATCAATTCTTCTCTATAAGTCTGTTCTATTTCAATCATAGGTTTTGCTTTGTCCTCAACTAATTTAAGTTTCGAAATTTTTCCGTCTAAAGATAAATCATTTTCATTCTTCTCAAAATCATTTAAAGCTTTTGTAAACAATCTCCTAAATTGAGATCGTTTGCACTTCAAAACATCCATTATAAATAAACGAAAGAATTCTACTTACAGATAACAGTCCTGTCAGCGGACGCCAAATGTTCAAAAATTCTCACCAAATTTGTTACCTCAAGAACTATTTATTACTCGGAAATAACTATCTATATCTCTTTAGTTATTTATGACTCTACAATAATTAAATATATTCTCATACTCTCAAATGATGATGAAAACAAAAGTTACACTTAACTCTCTAAAAAGAACAACATCATAGTATGTTGCCATTCTCTGAAACATAAACTGTTACAAAACATAGATAATAATAATATGAATAGATAATGAATAAAAAAAACCTATAAAGAAAACGATTACATCTGCTTGAAGCTTGTGCAATATTACTCAGAAGCTGCAGTTAGAAAAATATAAACAAAAATATTAGAGTCAAAATATTCTTCAGTCGTTTCTGAGTCGTTGAAGCTCTTTCAGCACTTTGTGTTGCAGCAATCAAGAACCTATAAGTAAGTCTTTGAAAAAAAAAGCTTCTTTATATAATGATATGAGCTAGTTGTACCTTGAATGTGAACGGAGTAAGATTAATGAAAGAGAGCATATGCTGTAACAATATCGAGATTTCCGAACGTGGTAGAAGTCCCCGCCCATCAAAGGTAGCCGCACCTTCATGGGAGAAAGAAAAACCTCTTAAAAGCTAATTCATGTTGAATAAAAAAATTTTTAAACGTAAGCGAAGAGGGAGGGGAAATAAGTAAATAAACAAGCGGTAAATTGAAGACTTGACAGTAACGAGAAATACGTAAAAAAAAATTAAAAAAAAAAAAAAAGCCCGCCTCCTAAAAGGTGGCCACGCCTTCATCGGATTAAAAATGGTGTATGAGACGACGATATTCCCTTATGAACTATTACAGGTCATCGGGACCTGCAATACACAGCGCGACGAAAATGTTTACGAAAGAGTTGCGCGCTTTTAGTTGAATTCTCTAACGGATGGAAGAAAATTACTTCAAGTTGTTCATTATTTTTAATTCTTAGATTTAATTTTCATTTCGGACACAGATTTCAGATTTAATTCTAGCAGATTAATTTTAAGGGTTTTCGATCAAAATATCGTTTTTCCATTTTTGTAGAAAATACTTAAATTTTAACTGTAATTTAGCTTTGAAAATTGGGCAAACGTTTGCTACAGTTATTCATTTATTTTTCCTAATTATTTATTTGTTACCTCAAAAGGGCTCAGAAGGGCTTTTAATTTCGTTTTCGCATTTTGCTTTGATTCACCATAAAAAGGCCTTTCACTTTTAAAATTGTTACTACCAAACATTAGAGCCCTGCATTATATTTAAATAAATTTAAAAATCTGATGTGTACACCACATGACTTCCTTGCAAGGAATATTAAATTGTACGCATTTTTTCTTGCATTTCATTAAAACGTATTGGATTGAATTAAATCTACATCGTAGATACCGCATAAACCCCCAATAGGGATATTGTTCGGAGACAGCCTTAGTTGCGCCAACTTGGCTCCTTTAAGGATATGGGCGACATTTCCTTATGCCAACGGAAGTAAATATCATATGAGGAATAGGCGCTATGGAGAAAAGAAAAATATATGGGGAAAAGCGGGATTAAGATGTGTTTATATTTGTTTGGCATCTGATTACTAATAATTGCTAATGATTACTAATTTGGTTCTGTTATATTGCTAAATTAGCATTAAAAGTCGAGTACTGTGCATTTATGACGAAAACGCAGGGCAATTACTTTTCGATCCGATTTCATACATGTATTAATATATCACATTCCTGCTCCTATGACCTACATATGTATCAGATAACTAGCTACTTTTCACACTTATTTCACACTTAAACTTATTTCTGGATGTGTATTATTTTACAACCTTTTCCTGCTTTGAAAACCCAAGTATTTAAATATTATGTGTATGCTTGTGAAAATAGTATAGCTATACTATAATCTTATATTATTCAGTTCTCATATAACTACAATATAAATATGCTTCTATTATTTACTTTAAAATGCAGTATTTGATAACCTTCCACATAGTAACCATTCTAGAATTAGTTCTGTAATGTTATATAATGTTCATTAAATTGTCTTATGCATTATTTTGCCTAAATATTCATTTTCATAAAGAATATATAATCAATGTAGAGAATGTGAGTTCAATATATTTTAAAGGTAGAGATAATAAACAAAAAATAAAAGGGAGACTACACACAACAACCAGATAAAACTGACCCTATTTGTTTACCATAGCTACACTCTGGCGCTAGATTCACTTAACAGCGTTACATTTCCTCCATTTTATAACTCAGAATGCATATAAATTTATATCATTTGAAGAATTATCCAATCGTTGTCACATGTTCTATTCAAATACTACAATAAATCTAAAACGATGTATAAAAGAAATTAAGCAAACAAAACAAAAAAGAAACAGTTTTTCACAGACGATTCAGTATTTCTCATTCAATTAATTCAGTTCCCGACAAGGCAAATACACATAGAAATCAAAATAGCTATATTAAAAATTAAGAAGTAAATCTGGAACACTTATTTCCTCGAATAAATTCGAGAATGGACTAAGCATGATTTAATTCGCAATAATAAAAGAAGGCGTTATCTTTGTTGTTGCGAAGCTTAGTTTCTCTAGATTGGCAACAAATCCGCTATTTTGCTAAGTTTGAAGGTGAAACTGCCTAGTAGAAAAACGGGTCCTAAAATGTCGCGTTCACTAGATGGCGCTGCTGTTCCATCTTAGCAGTTCCAAATGTAAACATTTATTGAGTAGCCAGGCGGCTAAGCTTACTAGCGGATGAAAAAATGTTTAGCTAAATCGCAGAATAGGCTGCATCAGTCGATGCTGTGTTTACTTCTCTTAAGCTTTGTTCAGACGGGAGGTGTAAAGGGCATAAGTGGTTAAAGCCGAGCTCCGTTGCCAAGGCAACCAGTCTATGCTACGTCACAAAATCTGATTTAGGCATAGGGATCAAAGTTTTCAACTTTACGCCGAGTTTGGGATAAGCGTCCACCAATCAGAGCGAAGCTAAAACGAAGTGGCGTTCTACGGAAGATTTTGCTGTCACAAAATAAGCAGACCGAACGCGGGAAGTCAATCGAGCAGGAGAACAGCGCGTGAAAGTTGTAGACACATCCACGCATGCGCAAATTTAGCTTCTCCCATTACATCATCGTTCTCGCAAGTGTGAACGGAATTCCCGTATTTTATGCCCTTATGACTACGCCTCAGTGCCCTTTACGCCGTCGTATGAACGTAGCCTTATGCTTGGACACGCCTTTTTATGACGTAATATTGGTTACGCCTCTTCTTAAAAAAAGTACGCTATAGCTTCCTATTTAACGAAAACTTAAATTATATTTTAACTGAGTTGAAATATAGGTTTATAATGTTCTACCGGAGATTTTTTAAATTATAAATCTACTTTTGTGTGCTATGTGGTAGTGTTAGCATTTAACGCAACGAATTATCTCACACGAATGTATTATTAAGATACCAAACAATTGAAAACGACCATTACCAAACGATTGCAAATATTGAATGCATGAGTTAAAAATCACAACCGTAACTTCTGAAAATACAGAAAAGAATTCTTGATTATTGATGACTGTGTCTAATTCGGTGCTTACGAGGAGGTTAGAATAGAGGAAGGGAAGGTTCAACTCAAACGGTGAAGCCTGGCGGCCATCTTCCTGTTATCACCGTGACTTGTGCAAGGAAGTCTGTCATTGCAACATTTTTTTCTTTTCTTTTTGAAGCATGTCAGCTTGTATTGCATATGGATGCGTAAATAGATTCTCGAAAAAAATTCCGGGCATTATTTTTCACACGTAAGTATTAATTTTCTTTTTTTTTATGTAATATGACAACTATGTCAAAAAATATCACAATGTCATGTGGTGGTTTTCTTTCCAGATGTGAAAAAAAAAAGGACTTAAAATAGGTTATTTAATATAACTATAATCAAAACATGTTAAATACATTTTAATGTTTCTGTTTATAGATGGTATCTTCGTTCCTTAAGATACAATGCTATATGGTAGGATTTAAATTGTATAATTTGAACGTTTTAGTTAATTCGTTTTATAACTTTCATGAAAAGTAAGAAATCAATTGTTACTATTTTTATTAATTGTAAAGGTGTTAAATAAAGCAATGCTTTCTCTTATATATTAATTATTATTCATTTTTTTAAGTTAAGATAAACTGTTCTGTTGTTAAAAATTTTTTGTATAAACTTACAAATTTCTGAGCAGTATAGTGATAAAATTAAGTAAAATATTTACACAATTGAACATGTGGAAAGATGTATCCAAAAACTTATATAGGTGCATTTCTGTAATTCAACTTAATTGAAGGCAGTTTCTTTGAGATTAATAAATATGAAATGCGCGTAAACTGAAATCAATGAATTCTGTTTTATTTTATTAATATTTATTTTCTAACCTAAGCGAATCCGTGAAATATGCAGAAGCATCACTTTTTAAAGGCTTTAATGTTATGCGCATGCATTTAGATTTCGAACTATTTCTTAACAATTTGCTGTACATAGTAAATTATGGATATCATCTTTATTACTTTAAAACAAAAATTCAACAATAGCGGGGTATTTCATTATAAATTTAACATAATTTTACTGGAAAATAAATGCACGGAACAGCTTAGAAACACGTACATGTCACTGCCGTAATGCAATGTTTTGAAGTCAAACATGGATGCCGCTTGTTCGGCGGAGTTTCATTCCCTGATAGTGGAGGAAACTGCGAACCCTCCCTCCTTCTATTCTAACCTCCTTGGGTGCTTACTGCAGAATGGATCTGTATTTTTTTTATCATTTGGAGCGAAGA